TTGGGATTCATCATGCTGACGTTCGGCAGTCCACAGTGCCCTGAGGAAGTACAGCATGTGTTTTTTGGCAGCATCGGGCGGCTCGATTATTCGGTGGAGTTTGCGCTGGGCTGCTGCTGGGGTCATGTCGTGCCCTGCTTCATGCAGAGCTCATGGGGTCGCTCTCACGGAAGGGCGCACGTGAATGCTGTCATGTGCGAAGAAGCCACTTCTCCGCTGTTCCTGCTGACGCTGGGGCTGGTCCTGCTGCTGATGCTGTCTTTCTCGCGCACCTGCCTCGTGCTCTACCGTCTGCTGAGGTTATGCTTCCGCTGCCGCGGGGCCTCCAGGAGCTCGCCTGGGCGCGCGGGCTCCAGTCCGGAGGCCCCGCTGCTGCAGGCGGACAAGGCCGAGGACAAGACGGAGGTCCGTGGATGAGACTAAACTGACATGCTACAAAAGTTTCGTGCCAGCACGCGCCGGGGGCAGCCAGGGGGGTATGACGCAGCGCCTCTCGCGCCCAGAGTGTGGGGAACTCCCAGGCGCCCAAATTTCAGGATCCCATCGCGAGTGTCCAGACTTGCTCAAACTCAGATCCATCCACATTCAAGCCCGCTCGCACCCAGAGGCGATTATCGAAGACGCCTACGGAGAATCACCGCCGCCCCCTGCCTTCCGGAAGCGCGCCTGTGTGGCCGAAAGTTGTGGCCAGCGCTCGGCCAAGCTATCTGATAATGTGTTCCCCAGCCGTTGCGGAACCCCTTCGGGGAACATGTGGGGGAGAAAGAAGAAGGGGAAGAGAGAGCTCGTCGGGCTTTCCTCGAGGTTTTCTCGGAGGCCTCTTGGGGGCCTCCCGGGCCGCTTCGGGCCATCTTTGGTTCATCTTGGACCGTCTTGGGTCGTCTTGGAGATATCTCCGAGCTAGCGACCATCTAGGGCTTCTCTTGGGATCATCGTGGCCGTCTTGGAGACCATTTTGGCCGTCTTGGAGGCCATCTTTGGGCCGTCAGGGGCAGCAGGACCGATGAACACGGGTCCGTGTGGGGCGGGAAGACCGACGAACTGGGAAGCTTGCGGGTCTCATTTTGTGGCGGCGGGCTGGGCCGCAGGCCCCCCGAGCGCCAGAGGCGGAAGCCGAGCATCCGGGGGGACGCGTGGGCACGGTGAGTTGCAGCATCCTGCAACGATCAAGCACTCAGCACGCCGTGCTTCCCTGAGACAAGCCACGCGGGGGGCGGCAGATCGAAGGCGCTTACGGCGAAGCACCGCCGCCCCGTGCCTTTTGGGGTTCGCCTATGTGGCGAAACGTTTAGGACAAGCTTGGCCACGCTATTGGTCCATGCGTTCCCCCAGCCGTTGTGGAAACCCTTTCGGGGAACACGTGGGGGAGGAAGAGGATGATGAGGAAAGGGAGGAGAAAAGAGGATGAGGAGAAGGATGAGGAGACCTCTTGGGAGCTTCTTGGACTCTAAAACGAGCTGAGGGACGTAAGGAGCGGAAGCGAGCGTGTGCCCGCGGCCGCGTCGGCTCAAGCGGCAGGCCGCCCAGCTATGACTGTGCCTCATCGCGAGGCACGCGATTGCTATCGAGACCAAACGGATCTTCCTATTGCTTAAGATGGCACATCCTCTCCTACTGAGACTATCGTTACTACGATACAACAGAGCGGGAGCTTGGCTTCGCCTACGGCGAAGCTGTTGGCTGGGCCTCCCAGCCCCCTTCAATCTTGGTAGCAGAACTGGCCTATTGTGTGGTCAGCTCTAGCTCTATTCCTCACCATCCACGGCACTATCTGGTGGACTACGGACATGGTGGAACATCAGGGTGCAGTGGGTTTGCGCGGAGGAATGTATACAACTACGCGTTATCGCAAGGACACTTGCAGCGATACCTCTGCGCATGCGGAGGTGTCTTACTTACGTCCTACATCCCTGCGCTTCTGCACTCCTGAAATCCACCCAGCTACTCCAAGTGGAAATTTCTTCGAATATATAATGCGTGGAAACATGCGATACGACGCAGTCCCGCCTCCACCCCCACGCGACGCGGACTTACGACTGCACAACGGAAGTCCCAACCGACCACATCCGACCACGACCTACGAGGTCATTGGATTGGTGTTACTATCTTTGGGCTCACATGGGTCGCCACCGGGTGTGCGGTAGGACATATGCGTGGCGGAGCTTCTGCCCAGCCTGTGGCGAGGTGATGGGCGTCTTCTGCGACCGCGCCCTGGTCTGCACCTGCCGCGGCGACCGGGCCAAACGCCACAACGCCCTGCGCAACCAGGCCTTCTTCGACGCCCTGGCCGCCGGCCGCGCCAGGGCAGAGTTGGGGCGCCCGGGGCTGCTGCCCCCGCGCCCCGCTGGGGAGGCCACCCCCGGGGGTGAGCAGGGCGGGGCCCAGGTGAGCGACAACAACGGCCGCCGCCCTGCCGACGTCTACCTGCCGCGGTGGCGCAACGGCACGGCGGCCGCCTGGAACTTTGCCGCCGCGTCAGGGTTGCGCGCCGATCTGCTCGCCGCGTCAGCCGCTTCGTCATGCGCAGCCGCGTCGTGTTGAGCTCGGGCGGCCACCCCGCCCTGGTCGCCGCCGTAGGGTCCATAGCCTCGTCGCGGGTGGCTCTTCTCTCCCGGCCCTTGGCCCGGCCTGTTTGCTTGCGGTCGCTGCTTTCCTTCCTCCTTGTCTTCTTCTTCCTCTTCCTCCTCCTCCTCCTCCTCCTCCTCCTCCTTTTCCTCCCCCTCCCCCCGCTTCTGCTCGTTGATTCCCTCCCTTTCCTTTCCTCCTGCTCCCTGCCTGCTGTCTCCGCCTGGCCCGTCTTCTGCCTGCCCGCCCGCCCCGCCGGCCTTGCCTCCCGCCTGGGCGTTCGTCGTCGTCTGCCTGCTTCTCCCCTCCTTGTCCCTTTCCGCCGGGCAGCGCAGCCTGCCCGGAACCAGTGTGGCGGCATGTAGGGCTTCGGCATTGTGGCGGTGCCTCGCGGACGCAGGCACCCAGGGGCTGCGCGCAGCTTTTGATAGGTCTCTTGAGGGTTCCGGGGGACCCTCTCGTGAATCTCTGGGATACTTGTCTGGAGCCTCTAGGAGTCTTTTGGATGCCTCATGGAGCGTCTTGGGGGCTTTTGCGGGCTTGTTGGGGGCCTGGCTGGCGGTCTCAGGGGCCATGGCCATTTTTGCGGGAAAAAGGCTCGAAAGGTCAGTTCATGCTCCCCCCCTCGGGCCACTCTTGGTGCCCTCTTGGTGCCCTCCTGGGTGCCTCTCGGCTGCGTTTGGGGGGCTTCTTGGGCCGTCTTGATACCCTTCCAGGCCGTCTTGGGTGCCTTCAGGTTGCCTCTTGCGCGTTCGTGAGCTCGAATGGCGAGAACGCTGAACTATTCCAAACCTCGAGCAAATCAGTGAATTAGCCTCTTGGCTTGGGGTTCCTCTGGGGGTCCTCTTGGGGCGTCCTGTGGGCACTTTGGACCGTATTGAAGTCATCTTGGGTTATCTTGGAGCTCTCTTGGGCCGTCTCGAGACCCTCCAAGACCATCTGGAAGGCCTCTTGGGGTCCTCTTGGCTTTTATTGGGGCTCTCTAGCTTCAGAAAGGGTCCGCGGGAAACCCGTGGAATCCAGCAGTTGGGTTTCTGATTCCCTACGAATGTATTTACAGTCCAACAAACTGCGGACATGACTCGGGAGGACCCGAGGACAGTTCAATTCGTGTCTCGTGGTATGGCGGCGGATATTCAGCCGCGTGCGCAGCCACACATAATCAGCCTAACTCGCTGCTATAAGAATTTGCACCCAACCGATCATACACATGCGCTCTCGTTCACACCCATCAAATCAGCTGCCTTCAAACACAGACAAGAACGCGCCATAACATGGGTGCACATCTGGGGACTCCGCGTTGACCCATTGTCTCTCGGGGTCCCCGCGCCGAGGCAACCTTGTGTTGCCCCTCGAAGCCATCCTGCGGACCTCTTCTGCGCCTGGCGATGTCTCTGATGTTGCTTGGACCGCCTGGGCTGCCTCCGGGGGCTCTTTCAGGCCATCTCTTCTCAGTAGGGTGACGGGATCAATGCACATCCACTTCTCCAGGCCTGGCCCATCCTGGGCCCAGGAACTTTGTACATGCCTCCCGTCAGGAGGGCGTGCGTACCGCTCCTGGCCCAGGATGGGCCTGGCCAGGGGAAGCGAACATGTTCAGATCCCGTCGCCCTATCCAGGGTCGTGAGAGGGCGAGTTGCTGGCGCCGCAGCCCCCCGCCCCCGCTGGCGAGTTCCAGACGAGCCCGCCCCCCCCCCTCGCCCAGGTGAGCCCCCCTCACCTTCGCCTGTAGTCCTGGGCGTGTCGGGGGCGTGGGGGGGGGGGAGGAGAATCTCGCGCCTGGTGACCCCAGAGGGGTCGGCAGGCTCTTGGTCCTCCGGGGCCCTCCGTGGAGTGACCTCCGAGCCACTGGTTGCCTCTCGGGCTCGTCTCGCGTTATCTTCGGGGCCCCTGGCTGCCGCCCCAGGGCCAACTTTGGCCACCCCACCTCGGCAGATCAGCTGATCCATTTTGGGCAGATTCACCTTCAGAGCGGCGTGGTGATGACGGCGGGTTGTGAGTCACCATGGATTCGGGGCGACCGCACGGTTTTGGGACACGGGCCGTCCTGCGAGGATGTCTCGGGCCCAGGGGCCCCACGGCCGTGCGGTGAGGGGCCGTGCGGCAGGGCCTCCTGGGGTTTTTTGAGGTCACCGCTCGGTCTGTCGAGCAGCCCTGGAGTTATAACAAAGGAATACGTGTGGAACCCTGGCCAGCCTCCAGGCACAGGCAGAGGCGGAACCAGCTTGGCGGGAATGCGCAGTCAGCACGGCCCTGGGCCCGCGCTGGGACCCCCAATCGATGGAGGCAGGCCTCTGAGGGGGCGCCCGCGGACCTTTGGAGGCCTCCAGGGACTTCCAGAGACGTCCGAGACCTCGGAGGAGGAGGAGGAGGAGGAGGAGGAAGGGATTCAACGGTTTTCGCGCTCCGGGGGGCCTGCCGGGGGTACCTCGTGGCCACGCACCTGGGCACGGGCAAGAAACTGGCCAGAGCGCGCCACAAGAAACGGGGGGTGATGCTGAGGTGGTGCCGAGGCCTCTATGCTTTGCCTCGCACAATCAAAGAGCTCGGCAGTTTTTTTCTTTACGTCGGGCCTCTGGAGGCATGTTGCGGGCTCCGGGGCCGTCAGCAACTATCCGCGACGAAGGAGCGCGTCTTTTGGAGGGATTGGACCCTCCTCCACCCCGCAGCGTTCCTCATCCACCACCTCTTTCTCCCTCCGGTCCTCCTTGTCCTCACTTTCATTCCTGAGGCGGAGGTCGTGAACATTGCAGAGGTCATGGGAGAGCTCGACGAGAGGGCACGCACCAAAGGTTTCGTGCCGGCAGGTGATAACAACAACAATGCTTTATTCGTCGAGTACATCTTTCAAGAGTATGCTACAGATTGGCGCCTCTGGGTACTTCTGGAGAGGTGCAGCAGTTGCACGCTCCCCGTCCTGCTGTGTCTGTGGGTTTTTTTCACCTTCGGATTCTTCTACTATCACTCGGGGCATTGCACAGATGGCACCACCTGGAAATGGGGGCTCAGTGGAATGATCTCTTTCCTGCTCTTCGTGGGATCACAGTCCTTGAGCTTCGGTCACTCCTGTGTCCGCTATGTTCTGCCGAGGGACTGTGGGGGGCCCGAGGTCTTGGTTGATCTAAGAGCCGTCCGAGACGTGCCCCAAGGTGGGCTCGACAGGCAGCATAGTGAGCGTCTGATAACGTGGTTCCATGATCCTGCGGACTACTTCTTCAGGGGGGAGAAGCGCCCGAGGGTATTCTCGCGCTCGTACTGTTCGGTACGGGTCGGCCCCGTGGACAAGGACAAGGTCCTGGCGATGCACTACTACTTCAAGAGCGTAGACTGCGCCCACGCTGGCAACTCGGGGGAGCCTGACTCCATTCGAAGAGGAAAAACTGTAGCAACATAAACTTTCGGAGCCCCGCGCAAATTCCTCGTCGGATCGGCGTTTGGCCCTTCTCCCTGGCGCGCGGAACGCGCCAGTGGCAGTGCCGGAGGCGCCGTCATGGGGGTCTCCAGCGCCGATTTGAGACATTTGCGCGAACCTCCGAAAGTTTCTGTTTGTGCCGTATTTTTTTTCTTCCACCTTTGTCGGCTATGATTTCCTCGGGATTGTGAAGGCTGTCTACTACTTTTGGCGCCCCGACCTCCGCAGCCAGCGCCGTGCCAACTGTGCGCAGTACATCTCGGAGGGGCTGTTCCTGGCGGGGCTCATCGCGCGCCCGCAGCTTTTCCCCAAGGCCATATGGGTGACGATGTTCGAGCATCGAAGGAGACAGACTGCATAAGCATAAGCTACCAAAGCTCCGCGCGGATCTCTTGGGTCGGCGCCGGGCCATCTGGCGTTGTCCCTGGCGCGGCCCCTGGCGCGCTTCCCGCGCCAGGGAGGGGGTTGCAGCGCTGATCCAAGAAGTCCGTGCGGAGCTCCGACAGCTGGTGTCGATGCAGATTTTTCTCGTTCGAGGGCAGGCGCTCCTGGTCCCCAGGAGCGCCCACAAGCGTAAAAACATGTTCATCACCTACTACAGACAGAAGCCCCCGGGCGGTGCCGCGTCCTGCTGCAAGAGGACCAGGATGCTGATCAACTCGGTGGTGACACCGATCTCATTCTACAGAAACTGCTACTATCGAAAGCTGGAGCGTTTCGCCGACGCCGTCGTGACCCTCGGGGAGGACAGCGTGGCCAGGTGCCACTCGCCTGACAGTCCAGCGCGACCCAACTGCTGGACTCGGCAATTGTTCAGCGCCGGGAACTGGGTGTTCCCGGTCCTCTGCTTTTTGTGGCTGGGGTTCGGTTGTCGGGGGCGGCAAGGAGGGGGGTGACGACTAGGGGGGGTGGATATCATGGCGTGGGCCACGATATTTCCCCAGATCTCATGGCGCCTCTTCTTATTTCATTACGTCCCTGGCCCCCCCGCTGGGCCGCGCACATGCCGCCGGTCATGATTTGCAGCCCCCCCTCTTGGACACCCCCCTCTTGGCCGCTCCCAAGGTTGGCCTGACGACAACTATGTCAGGAACAAGTCCCTACTCGCTGGTCTTGGGGCCAGGGCTTTCCTGGCGGCGTTGCTCATGTCGGCCTATTCCCTGATGCACTAGCTCTGAGGCATCCCCGCAGCACGCTCGGAGGCCTAGAGGTTGTCACCAACACCAATCTGGGCGTTTGCCTCCATCGAGGAAAGATATCCCGACCTCGGTGATTGTGGTAATAGTCGGGCCTCTCGGGTGGCCGAAACATGACCACCAGCGCCAGAGTCTAAACTCATCTTCCCTCGGTGGAGAGACCCCCCTGTGTTGGGGTTGTTGCCACTTTCCCGGCCTCCATTGGAGGCGTTGGTGTTGGTGCTGGTGTTGGTGCCACTCTCTATGAGGCGTGCACGCTGAACGTGCACGCCTCGTAGAAACGTCGCCTGGACAGCACGCAGCGGCGCAGTAGCACGCTGCCTCGGG